GTTAGTTGGTAGACATGTAGAACGGGATGACAGGTAAATTTGTAGGCCGGTAAAATGATAGATTGATAAACAGGTTGATAGGTAAATTAGTAGACAAATTGTTAAACAGGTAAATGGTAGACATTTAGAACGGAATGACAGGTAAATTGGAAAGCAGGTAATTTGGTTGATAGGTAAAATAGTGTATTGATAAATAGGTCGATAGGTAAATAGTTTGACAGGTAAATTGGTAATCTGGTAAAATGGTAGATTCATTAAAAGTTGATAGGTAAATTTGTAGGCAAATTGTTGATTAGGTAAATTGTTGAACAGATAGTAGTAACATTAATCTAAATGTAACAAATACACATCTTTGTTCAACTTTTTAATTTAAACTAAATCACGGCAAAGCGTGAATGGATACAGTTACTATATAATATATACATTAAGAAATAATGAATAAAGAATTGAATATGTTCAACATAGTTTACAAATTTATCATAATGTATATAATATATGCTCTTTGCAAAAATTGATTTATTCATTACTTTTCATCGTACTCATAACCTTTACCATTTATTTGTTTTCACACCACAAACTAATAAAACTATATAGGATAGGGCGGGGCCGTTTTGATAGGGGTTTTACGAAATAATAGCTACAATGTTTAAGCAGTGCAAAATATAAATTCAATGGGCACATTAATTGCAAAGATATCGCTATATATAATCCTGATCCCGTATTTCGTCAAAAATATACATCCGCAGAATTGCATTCATTTAAACCATTAATTTAATTTATAATTTGTGAAATAGCCTTTTTTCTTAACTGAATTTACATTTTATTTTCTATGTTTTATTGTTTACATCTTTGTCATGGTAAAGACTAAGTTGGTCCATTTTACCCCATCCATATGTAAGTTATTGAAGACGTTATATAAAAAAGTCTGTTGAATCTATCTTAAAATTAACAATACATCTTATAAAACAATCAAATAACGTTAACTTAAAATTTATATTAAGGTATCATAAATAAATAACATCGCTCACAAACAAAAAAACTGACGGCGATAGGAAATATTTATGTCATGGATTTTCAAACAATTCTGTAAATCTTCTGAAGTCGACGTTGTTTGATTAAATGCGATGACTGTTTACACAAATTTTTCTCTTCACTTCCAAATATTGATATTAAGGGGAAATCAAGCAGGCTAGTGTTTTGTAGAAAAACAATTGGACTTGTCATATTTTTCATTTTATTTTTTGATATCCATTACTACTCCCACAGCAGGGAGTGTGTGGGGAAATCAAGTAGGCTAGTGTTTTGTAGAAAAACAATTGGACTTGTCATATTTTCATATCAGTAATATTTTTAGATGAATAAAATTTATATATTTTTATACGATGGGAGTTTATACTTTCTTATTCATTACCACCCCCACAATATTAAAAAAGTCGCAATTTTATTTGTTTTAAATATTTTGGTGGTGGACCTTTTTACCCGCGGACCTTTAAGCTTCGCTCTAGCTTAATTGAAAAATGTATGCTATTAAATGTTCACTCAAATATTTGCGCTTGACAATGTTATGTATTAAATATTTTCATAACCTCCAATATTTATTCTCTTTTGAATGCGTTTTACGATTTATATTTTAAGTATAATTATGTATCGTGGTTGATATATAAAACAGCTTTAAGCATATTGCAAAAATGCCACTTTTTTACTGTGAAAAATAACTTGACCTCTAGTAAATGTTTTTGACGGACAAGAAAATTATACATAATATTTATGAAACTTATTTTCAAAGATATATGTTTTTAAAAGCATATTAAATTATATAAATGCTAATTGGGCCTCATAATGTTGGGGCACCCAGCAGTTTTAGGGCGCTTTACTTAACTAGTTGGTATTGGTATTTAGCCTTGAGGCAAGTTACATGAACTTCCCGATATGTGTAAATAATCGACTTAATGAATAATAAACAAATTAATTTATTAGAATTAATCGATTAGAAGTATTCCGAGAGGATTTATTACACATAATTGAAAACGAACGAACACATTAACTCGGAGTATTTTCTAAAAGCAAATTTTCACAAATCAATAATTTTTATAATTGAACCAGTATTCGTAGGACGTTAATGGTTTACTATGTTCATTAAGACCAAGTAATCTATAGTTATACGAAGTAAATCATCTAAATTTAATTTTAACAAACGTCAAGAAAACTATTCATTTTCTCAAACTTTGATAAATTTTTAAAATTAAACTACTTGTCGTAAGGCCGTATTATTGCAGTAAGTTCTATAAGACCATATGATATACATCGCCAAAGAAAGTCTCATAAAAATCAGCTTAATTTTTTTTTCAACAGTTAATTACAAGAAAACGGTTCGATAGATTTTCACCTAAAACTAATCATTTTGATTTTTTAAAATTAATTTTTTTTTAAAAAACTACAAAGAAACGGCTCGGCAGATCGTCTCACAAAACTGACAAACTATAGTGCTCATTGAGATACATCGAATGGCTTTTAAATTTTTGAAATCGGTTCAGGCGTTTTTGAGCAGTCGTCGATGAAAGGTCTAATTTTGACAAATGCCAAAAAACCGATACCAATTTTTGCAAACTAAAAAATCGTCAAGATTTTTTAAACCTAACAAGTTGTCGTAGGGCGGTATAATAATATTTTAGTATGATCTAGAAGACTATCGTCAAAAAAATCATAAAAATCGTCCGATTTTTTTTTAAACTTTATTACAAGAAAACGGCCCGGCCGATCTTTACCAAAAACTAATCAGCACGATTCCCAACCAATATCTTTCGAACGGTTTTTGAATTTTCAGAATCGATTCAGAATTGCGGGCTAAAACGTGGAGGAAAAAAATTTCACTTTTCTGCTATTTATAAAGAAACGGCTTGGACGTTTGTCGCACAAAACTCAGAAACACTAGTCCTCATCGAGATACATCGAATGGCTTTTAAATTTTTGAAATCGGTCGAACCGTTTTTGAGAAAACGTCGATTTACGGCAAAAAATCTGTTTACATACACGCACACACACACACATTGTTGATAACCATTTCCAAGAAAAGTGCGGACAAAAGCATACAGAGGTACCCAGATTGCTACTGTAGCTCTTTCAGCGGCAATTGTACACGATCTGCTCAGAGCAAGTAGCAAAATACGAATTGAATGGGTCAACTGTCGAATTAAAACCATCAAGAAACAAGAATCATTGTGAGGCTGCACACAACTTGCTTATGCAGACGGTAAGAGATATGAAAATTGTTGTTGCACTCTTATCAGAACCTTACAAACAACTAACTGATTGGCCATGGGAAACGGACAGAACCACTAAAGCTGTTATTTGGTCCTGTGGCAAATTTTGTTTCCAGAATGCTGTTAACAATAGCAACGCTAAATTTGTAACAGCATCATTATACGGCATACATTTGTATAGCTGTTACGCTTCACCTAGTCTTTCTTTGCCAGGTTTTGTTAAATTTTTAGATCGTCTTGTAGAGGATGCAAAACAACACTACCCCGTAGCGATAGCCGGTGACTTTAACGCATGGGCGATAGACTGGGGAAGTAGGAAGACTAATGCAAGAGGTAAAGCACTTTTAGAGGCTTTTAATACACTTGATGTTGTTTTACTAAATAGCGGTGATAAACCAACCTTTGTCAAGGGCAGTGCAAGCTCAATAATAGACCTTACTTTTGTTAGCAATAGCTTCGTCAGAGGAAATTACAATTGGGAGGTACTAGGTATCTACACTGCTAGTGACCACAATGCAATCACCTGGAAAATATCAACAAATAGGAACATTAGAAGACATATGAAGATATCTAAAGCCATTGGATGGAAAATAAAACCTTTTGATGAAAGCGCCGTGAGAATTGCCTTAAATTGCAAACCTATAGTTTCAGAACACGCAGATGAGCATACTAGAAAGCTGATGGAGAGAATAACCGAAGCCCCGTGATATCAGTATGACTCGTAAGCATGGCATAAATCAAGACAATCTGTGCACTGGTGGACTGAAGAAATCAGCTCTTTTCGTAAAGAGTGCCACAAGAAAAGAAGGATCTCTTAGCGGTGATATAGTCTCACAAATTATGCACAACTGGTAGTGGATTAGGCACGTCGGCAACTAAATAAAGTTATCAAAGATAGTAAAGTTATATGCTGAAAAGAACTTCTGGATGAAGTCCAGGAAAACCCATGGGGAAGGCCTTATAAGATTGTAATGTCTTGCCTCAAAAGCCAACCAATGCCTTCACCAACTTGTTCACGACTATTGAATAAAATACTACCAGGTAACACATGTAGAACTGAATAATATTCCACCTATAACACTGCAAGAACTGATGGAAGCTTGTCATCGGGTTTGAAATAGTAAGGCACCGGGATTAGATGGAATTTCTAATATTGCCTTAAAAACATTAATTATGTCATTTCCGACAATGTTTATTAATGCCTATAATACATGTCTGAAAGAAGGTTTTTTTCACGAAAATGAAAACAGCAAAGATTAGTGCTTCTTCCAAAGGAAAAAAACACCAAATGAACCATCATCCAACCGTCCGATATGCATGCTCGATATAGCTGGTGAAATTTTTGAAAGAATAATTTACCAAAGAATAGATGAAGTAGTTGACCCAATCCTAGCACACAATCAGTATGGTTTTTGCAAGGGGCGATCAATTATCGACGCTATAAACTTGCTAGTTAATACCGCTAAAGAAGCGATTGCTGGAACCAGATGGAAGGGGGGTGCGAAGAAGTACTGTCTTGTAGCTACATTGGATATAAAAAAGGCTTTCAATTCTGCAAACTGGGATTGCATAATGAATGCACTCCGTGATAAGAACGTGCCTGTATACCTCTGCAATATAGTCGCGAGCTACTTTAGAGACAGAATTCTAATGTACGATTCAAGCGATGGTACAGAGGAATATAATATAACAGGAGGTGTGCCGCAGGGCTCTGTACTAGGTCCTTTGCTGTGAAATATTATGTACGATGGCCTTTTGAGACTTGAGATTCCAGCATGTGTGAAACTAGTAGCATATGCAGACGATGTTGCCATAGTAGTTGTCTCCAAACGAATTGATAAGATCGTAAGTCTATTTGATATAACATTTAGAAAAATTAATCGCTGGATTGGAACAATGAACCTCCAATTAGCACAACAAAAAGGTGAAGCTGTTCTTATCACGAGTAGAAAAATAATAGAGACCATCAAGCTGAAGATAGGAAACCTAGAGATTACGTCAAAACCTCACATCTGTTACCTTGGCGTAGTGCTCGATGCTCGTTTGAAATTCAATCAACAGATGGAAAACGTTAGTGGTAATGCGTCAATAGTTAGGACGAGACTTGCTCGACTGATGCTTAATGTTGGAGGCTCTAAACAAATCAGAAGGATATTACTATCGTCAGTGGTTACTTCGGTGCTGACATATAATATCTCCATATGGGCTGATGCTGTCGAAATTGAAAAATCGAGGAGAACGGCAGGACCTATATATCGTCTGAGTGCTTTAAGAATTGCTTGCGCATTTCGCACAATATCGGAGGAAGCAGTGTGCGTCATTTCAGGAACTCTGTCTTCCTTAGTCTTAGCAGAGGAAACATGGACAATTTATCATAGAAGATATCAACAACTGAGTCCAGTTGAGAACAAGTTGAGATTTAGAGAACGGCAGAAAAGCATTTACCGATGGCAGCAACTGTGGGATGTCGCAGAAGAGGGCAGATGGACGCATCGTCTCATTTTAAACGTCGCATTCTGGCTAAGTCGCAAGCATGGAGAAGTAAATTATTATACTACGCAAATGCTATCTGGGCACGGCTGTTTTCGAGCCTACCTACACCGCTTCAAGTACGATAGCTCGCCGGATTACCCATATTGTTTGGGCAAAATTGAAGATGCTGAGCTTGTGTTCTTCGTATGCCCGCGATTTGGTGCTCTACGGGATGATGTGGAAGAGACATTGAGACGAAGCATAACTCAATGTAATGTTGTTGAAGTGATGCTGACTAGTGATGCTGCTTGGAACGCCACATACAGATTTGCGAGAGAGGTACTAATTTAATAATTAACTACCCAAACAGAACACCAGTCTGGGATGCATAAAGGCATTTCTTTCGCTATACAAAAAAAAATAAAACACACACATACTTTTTTAAAATTTGAGCTCATTTGATTCAATGCCTTGCAACGTCAAGAAAACATAAAATTAGCGAATCGGATTTTTTGATGAAAACAAACTTCTCCTTCGCGAAGTTAAAAATATCTAATTTGTCATATTTTATCAATTGTAGTTATATTGATATCGTGGACATCGTTAGTGGTATAATATTAGGACTTTGAATTATTAAAAATTTGGCGGACTTGTACAATGAATGGATAATTTATTTCACATTTATTTGTGAAATGATCTAATTTTATAAATGCCCATACAACAGTAAAAGATTAATACAATTATATTTAAATTATATATTTTGTCGAATTTGCCATGTCTTTGGAAAAACAAAACTGCAATATTGAATGCCAAATGAAACTCTCCTTTGAAGATCCATGAATATTATATTGTAAAAATTCATAGCTAATAGTTATATGTAAATTTCGTTCAGATGTAAATACTTCTAATTAATTTTATTTATCAACAAGTTCCATGTTTCTCCCTTGCATGTTGATAAGAATATATTTAGTTATAGAAAATTTCCTCCAATTTTCAAGAACTTTAAAGTGGGTGTTCGAATTTTGTTGTATTTAAGACTCCTAATGCGATGTGTACAAATTTTTTTAAGGCTTCAGAGTTACGGAGATAAAAGTGCAAAAAATAGCAGTTTTTGAAAGAATGGAGCATCATGTTAGAGTAATTCAAAAAGCATAGTGCTTGTGTCGACGGTTTTTGTTTATGTTGTTTTTGTTCTTGTAGATAAACATATTTAAAGATCATCATCCAAATATGAGCACCTATAATATACTAGATTTATCTAATAATTTGATTTATGAAATAAGACGATGAAATTTACATCTTTTATAATAATTATTTTAAAATATTAAAACAATTTTTGTCACTCATTGATACATTTTTATTGATGGTTGTTTATTTTTATTTCGCGAATGTTTAATTGCGGTACGGGAAGTTCTAGCAATTTCTCTTAAGGCAAAATGCCACGCACCACTGGTTTATTGTTTTGTTTATATTTATCCATATTTGATAATAATTAGGATAAAACTCATTTAGTAGATTCTTACCATAGACTATGCTAGTATAAATATTATTATTGCAAATATTTTCTTGCAATCTTTTTGATCACGCGGGCTCCAGCTTCGTGCATGTGTTCTTCAAGAATTAACATTTACTCCTTTGGCCATTATTCTCACAATAACCTTTGATGCCAAATGAACTCGTCAATTTATTATATATACTTAGTAGGTGCCGTATCATGTGTGTTTCTAGTAGCCCGCTGACCTGTTATCATGAACGACGAACCTACGTTTCGATTTCTCCCTAGGTCATCTGTTTTCACTTCAAAGTAGCATCTTTCTCTAACACTTTTCCTCGTATAATTACAGCTTTTGGAAAGAAATTAAGTAAAACGTGCCCTCGTAATAAGTTAAAGTAATTAATTTGCGAACTGTCTTTTACAACTGAGTATACTTAAAGCTTTCCATTACTACATAAAATGTTGGTTAAAAGATATTGTTGATAATTATTGAGAATCATTTCACGTAGATTGTAATTATTACTCTCAACGTGGAAGACATAAATGTTCTCGTAACTGCATGCAGTACATAGATGGAAACTAAATAAGAATTGGCGTTGTGTGTGGTTCTTAGTATGTTAAACACAACTGTTATGAGATAAACTAATATAAAATTTTGTTTAACTGAAGCAATATAACTAAGTATAATCGTATGCTGTTTTTATACAAATAGAGTATGCAGGAAGTGATATATTATTGCGTTTATTATACCTATACAAAAAATTATTTACTCTACTATCGGTTTTTATAGATGGCAACCAAAATATTTATCCCATCTCTATGTGATGAATTTTATTATTAAAATAAAATTATTATTATTATTATTTAAAATTTGTAATCAGGGCTTGTTCGCTTCGTAGGCGGGGTTTAAATGAACATTATTTAATAAAATACAATGTCTAACATAAGATATACAAAGCTCTTTTTTGTCAAAAGTAAGTTTGTTTGTTTATTTTCTTTTAATAATAACTATTCACGTATACAGATAGATCACTTTGTTTGTTATTTTGATGTAAGTTGATCATTAGTAGTTAATAACCAAAAAATATTTTTGCGTAGATAACTTAGTTCAATTTAAACGATGATTTGAAAAGTGTGCGTTACGGTTTGTGACATGTATTTCTTGTCGTTATAAACTTTTTTCGTCCAGTCATCATGGTAAGTTCATCTCGAAATTCGTGATACCCAGCTGTAAGTCTGTAAATACTTGTATATTGACACCCTGAAAGATGTACCGAAACCTACATATGGTTTCTCCCAGCTAACTAACAAATTAACAAAATTATTTCTGATCAAATAAAAGTGGCACAACCGTACCCATTGTCCCCTAACACATTGTGGTTACAATAAGATAATAAATCTTTTTCTATATTGAAGTCTTTTGAACAGTTATCTATTTTCTTGATTTGTTATATCTATTTGTATATAGAGAATATAGAAAATATTCATCGAGAAAGCGATCCACGATCAGTACTTTTACTGTAGAAAACAAACTGACATCGAAATAATACAAATAAAGGTTTTTGTTTTTAATTTTACTGCGCTTAGGTTTAGAAAATAGCTAAATATTATTATTGTCTGCGAATAACGCTCGCGAATGAAAAAAAAAACAATGTTGAACAACTCGTGTTCAATGTACTAATGGATATCAATACGATATATCACAGTAGTCTTAATGATGTTTACATATGCTCTTCGTTTAAATGCATGTAGCAAATTTATTGAAATTGCTTATAGTCTAGCCAATTTACAATGTTTTCTTTCTATGTACATCCCGATTGCATTTAGCTGCGCCGTGGTCGTGCCGTGCCAGGCACTTACACACTGCGGCAATCAGTAGTATGCAAATAAAAAAAACAGTTTATATTAATATTCATAGTGAAATTATTCATAATCATACAAAATAAATAAGAATCTTGCGTGCTAATAAAACAAATAATAAATAGGTTATGTGCCTATGATTATGCGGAATTGAAATAATTTATCGCTTAACAATCCGTAGGTAATTATGGGCTTTCCTATACCATACAATTTTTACGGTATTCTAATTCAAAATCAAAATAATGTCATCCATTTGATGAATAAAAATAGAACATGCTCAATTCTTTTGTGGAAATAGTCAATATTTGGGTCCCTGTTTTTCAATTATATTGTGAAAACCAAACCAATAATATAACAACAAATACCACATATCTGACCATATTCAGTAAAACTCCCAGCTAATTCATCATTGTAATATTTTTTTCTATTGAAAAAAAATACATCTGGTCCTTTTTACCTCATAATCGGGATAAAATGGGACAACTTGGGCAACAACAAATCCAATTTTTTACTTTTAATTTTAAAGGGATTTTACGAAATAATATTCAGCAAATGCAAAATATAAATTTTATGGGCACATTTTTTACAAACGTAACACTGTATATAACCATGATCAGGTATTTTGTCAAAAATATTTATTAGCAGAGTTGGAATAACTATTATTTTAATTTATAGCGACTCAATAAAGTGATATTTCAAATATTCGATATTATATTGTCTACATTTTTTTTGATTCAGCCATTATTATCTGTAGAGAAAATATTGTTTACAGAGTATTGAATGATATATATATATATATATATATATATATATATATATATATATATATATATATATATATGATATCATTAATTATCAAGCATATTCAATTACAACAGCAATAATACTTACCAATTATAGTGACACTATTTATTACTGAACAAAAAACTGCTTTTGATATAAAATTATATTATCTAATAATAATACACAACGCCTGCTTAATCTGCAAATATCACAATTGAGTGTTCAATTGTTTTCACTATACTCAAGATTTGACCAGTGCTTTTTATATTCAACCCGAGGTTCTTTGGGATGTGTAGGGGGTATAAATGTTCGAATATAAGTACCTGTAACTTATTATTTATTATTAGATATAGATGAGGGATATGTTCTCAGAAACATCATGGTTTGCTCCATAAAGCTAAGCAAATAAATACTAATCCGCCAGGTATAGAAGAACCCGTCAATAATAGCGACACATCTAATGCGGTAAATTTGTTTGCGAACTGGAATATGCATATATGTTTAGATAATTTGAACTAAAATATCATCTTGGTATAATTCAGTGTTAATGTTAATCATTTATTTATAT